TCAGCAGGATAGAGCACATTAGACAAGAAATAGCTGTGCTTGTCCAAGCGTGGCCTCATCTCATCAGAGTTACTGAATGAGCTGGGTCACACCTCATTGTTATTTCTATCAATCATCTCTCTGTCCACCTGCTTACATAGCCCTCGTCATGGTAGTGGCTGAGCAGGGTCATATGCATGGTATATAATGCACAAATATAATGAAAGCCCAAGCTCCAAGGCTTTGCTATGAGAGACCCTGATTTCAGTGTGCTGAATCACAGAATCATAGAGGGCTGGAAGGGACCTCTGGAGGTCACCTCTAGTCCACCCTGCTGCCTGAGGCAGGACCATCCCCGTCCAAACCATGCAAGTCCTGAGCGGCTCCTTTCAGGAAAAGGAGAAAAGAAGTCAGCCCGGCTCTGTTCCAGTTCCCTGCCTGACATTTCTCTTGTATTAGGTTCAATGACGAGGAGATCTGCATGTGCCCACAGACCTCGGTCACGCAGCAGTTTGCTTCTGTCCCATGGAACGTGTTCAACAGAGATGTCCTGAAATCCCTCTATGGCTTTGCTCCGATCTCCATGCACTGCAATAAATCCTCCGCCGTCCGCTTCCCGGTAGGTAGGAAACTTCTGAAAAATACGGTAAGACTTACTGAGAAACCACCCCCTGTGAAACGGGACTTTGCAAAACAGACCTGCTCCCTGCACATCTCCAGCAGAGCTGCAGCCACCGACCATGGTGATAGCAAAGGGGTTTCCTGCTTGGTTCTCCGCTCAGCACGCCAAGGCCAGGCCAGGTCTGGGAGTGGGAGATAGAGGCAGTTCTCTCCGATGCCTCTTCGAGAGACTACCTTACTGAGTTCCCAGCAGGGAAGCAGGTGCAAAGCAACTCAAGATGATGGGCAGTGCACACCTGGCAAAGCAACTCGAGATGATGGGCAGTGCACACCTGGCAAAGCAACTCGAGGTGGTGGGCAGTGCACACCTGGCAAAGCAACTCGAGATGATGGGCAGTGCACACCTGGCAAAGCAACTCGAGGTGGTGGGCAGTGCACACCTGGCATCATTTGGATTCTTGTTGCTGTTCCCCAAGAAGGAAAGGACATGGGTTGATAGTAGGGCTGTGTCTATACCATATCCCTGCAGGGTTCGAATAGCCACTGAGGATGAGTCCTCACCCATTCACTCCCACTCTGACATGCCCAGACCGAGGGATTAGGCAGTGCAGAGAGTTTGAAAGGGTCCTGAGTGCGTGTCCCTGGCAGAGATGCTGGGCCATGCACACCTCTACAATGCTTAACCGCTGAGTGCATGCAGGGCAGTGCTTGCTGGCTTCTCAGCTGTGGTCCCAGGCTCCCCAGAGAGGATATGCAGGTATGTTTGCAGGGTAGGTCTACACTGTAGTCCCTTCTGTGACTGCAGAGTATCCCCATGCCAAAGCTAGCTTCCCACAGGGTAACCACATTAATGTGGAGCTCAATGTGGCTGCAAAACCTGTGCGCAGAGCAGAGGAAATCCTGGGGCAATGACCCCCACGCTGAGCTCTATGCTGTTGTGACTACACCGCTACCCACCTGCACGCTAGCTGATTTGAAGCTAGCTCAGCAACACTGACACTACACTGCACTATACAGCAATTGCACTAGGGAGATGCCCAGGATGAATCTGCAGCACTGGCATTTAGAAAAACACACCACACTAACGAGCACTGTCAGGGGGGAAAAAAAAAGAAACCCTAGGAAGGTGTAAAGAGATTCAACATAGTTGCATGGGGCAATTGCTAGGGCCACTTTTCAGAACAGACCTGGCCTTCAAGACCGAAGTTCCTCCAGTAGCAATTGGAAATAAAGAGCTATAATTCAGGAGTTTGCAAAAATCACACTGGATCCCAAGAAATCCCTTGTAAGAGTCTGAGCGATCTCAGTAGGATGGGGATAAAGGGAACAGAGGATGAGACAGCGCGCGGAGATCTTTGAAGGGAAAAGATCTGAAGTCGGGATAAAGTTGTTGCAGGTTGAGATCAGGTAGGTCTCATCTTACCCTCACCCTTGGACAGCATTTTTGCAAGTGCAGGAGAACTTAAAATAATTGTCTTTTGGAGGAGGTGTGTAATGTGGAGAAGTGGAGGGAAAGACAGAAAAGGCACTGAAAAATATGATAACACTTACCACGAAACTCCCCCTGTGAAATGTGACCTTGCTAAAGAGAAGACCTTTAGCTTCTGCCATACAAACCTACCCTGGAGATGTTAGGGTACATTTTAACTCACTGGGCTGAATTCTGCATGCTGGCTGTATGCCAGTTAAATCCTATTTCAAAGACTTCACTGGAGCATAGGCCTTGTGCCACCTGTCTGCAGGGCGGGCGGTTACTGCCTTCTTTGCAGTCGTCTCGATTCAATAGGTTTGCATGGCGGTCGCTCAGAAAGAATGGGGGAATGAGCATGCAGCCGGCATCGACACCAAGTCGGTCATCTGGAGGCTACAAGCAAATAAAGAAAGAAAAAGCAGGCTGTGGTCTTCCCGCTCGGTTTGCTTTTCAAACCTGAGTGGGATTTTAAAACACCTCCTGTCTGCTACAGTACTTCCGTCTAGAGAGCTTCTAATTAGCCTCGTGCCTTTCTGCAGGCCAGTGATCCCCACTCATATGCGATTTGCTGGAGGAGCTTTGTGCTTTTAATTATTTGGTAAAATGAAAATCCTTGTCTCGCTCGGAGGGTGTTTCAAGGTAACACCTGTGCGTAATGAAAGAAAGGGCACTTTGGCATCCACCTCTGCAAGAGCCTGTTGAGACTTCGGGCTGGAATAGTTTAGTCAGTGTATTTATTTAGATTTATACACATGCACACCAAAAAGAACAACTCTCCATATGCTCTAGATGCCCTTGTTATACCTTAAAAATACACTCAAGCGCAGAGGGTGTTACCCATAAGCTTTGAAGCGTGTTAGCAGAGATGTAAGGATGTCTGGAACTGGAACAGCAGATGTCCGTGCCAGTCAGATACAAGACACAGAGACCTGAGCGAGGTCCTAGACTGGAATGACAGCCGTACTACAGGCCAGGCGTGAAGTTCAACGGCAGAGATGGGTTGCATGTAGAAGAACGTAGCAAGGGTGCTACAGGCCAGGGTGAGGGGCAGAGAGGGATGAGTCCCTGCATTTAACTCCAGGGCCCTGCAGGTCTGGAGTGAGGTGCACTGGGACAGCTGGGTGTGGGGCGCTTGACTCCAGCCACTGCTGTCACAGACTCTCACCACCACGAGCACCGAAGTCCTGGGTTACTTAGGCTCTGGCAATGCCATCCTGCTTTTCAACCAGACTGCAGAGCCCACCCCTGGCTATTTAAAGCATTCAAACAAGACATACGACCTTTCGCCTTGCGTTTAAACTGTGCTCCTTCTGCTGTGAGGCCAGAATTGTAGGAGGCAGCCTCAGTCATCATGGTCATTAGGAACAAACGATGGGCAGCATTGGTCATTAAAGTTACAGATTCAATTAATTGAGTCTGTTGGAGCACGGTAATTACCACGCTCCAGCAGACTCCAGCGTCATGTGGATCAGCGTCCCCGCGCTCAAAAAATGGCGGCGGGGACGCTTTCACTACAGCTCGTCTGATGAGCTTTAGTTAAAGCGCTCCCGGGGACGCTGATACAAGTGACGGTCCAGGTGCTTTCATCACAGCGGCTCTTGGAGTTGCACTAATTAAAGAGCCTCCCTCCCCACCTGGAGCATGTCTATAAATGGCCCTGGTGTCTCAAATAATCCAGCATCCTTCTCCCTGGCTGCGGCCCTCACGAAGGCAGGCTTGCCCGTCTCACAGCTATTCAGAACATTACAGCGAAGATCACTTCCCTAACCCTTCGCTTTGACCATGTCACCCTCTCTCTGTGTCCCACCAGCAATTCCCCTTCACGGCCCCTCTCTACCTCTAATGTCCCATTCAGTACCAGGAGGTGATTCTCCTGCCTCTAAGTGACCTATGGTGCCCACCTCCATCCTGCCTGTCTTGTACTTCCAAGCAAATACCTTTGTGCTTTCTCCCGTGCTTCACAGGTGGTAGGAGCTTCCTGAAAACAGCTCCAAAATGACATGGTTGTTCCCCTTCAAACCCCACTTTGTCCTGATGCTTAAAAAAACAGCTTGACCAACATTAGACTGCTGATGTGGTGTGATCATGCTGACCAGTATGATCTCCCTGGGTAGTTTTCAACATAGCTGACAGGGTGTTTGGGACAGGGACCTATTTGTTCTGTGTTTGTACCAGGCTTTTCATTGCACTCCACTGAGGTTGATGGTCCCGAGTGTCTGCAACCTGCTGCTTCCATGTGCTGTGGAAAATGAGAGGGGGCATAAAAAACAAGAGACAGAGAGACTAGCAAACACCTGAGCTCCACCAGCCTGCACCCGGGAGCAGGCTGGTCCTTGGAGCCCCATGTGGTACGACAGGGTCCCACCCAGGCCTCTATCCCTTCTTGTTCTCACTGACATCTCCCTCTCTCTGCAGGGCGAATGGGAGAAGCAGCCTCTTCCACAGATCGCCAAGATGCTGCCAGCACCCACCCCACATTGCCCCCCTCCACCAGCACCTCCGCCTCCACCCGCCGTGCTTATCAACCTGGGCAAGACCAAGGCAGACTGAAGGGACATCTGGCTTCCCCTGCCACGATGCACGATGCCACGAGACACTTTTGGACACACTGGGGCGCTTTTGATTTTGGTTCAAGCTTTTGCAACGCTGCAATGGAGAGGGTGGGAGCAGGCTGGAGGGGTTGCCTTAGGGATTTATAAGCTTCCTGATACGAGGGTCTACTCAAGAGCTGCTTTTACCCTGCATGGGGTGGGAAGAGGGTAGAGAGAATATAAAGGACTCCTCTCTGCACAAACACACAGGCCAGATCTCACTGACTGTTCCTAGGAGGGATTGGCGGTGGGGCAGGGGCCAGGCATTGCTCACAGCATGATGGGTGAGAATTCAATCTCACGGATGGGTCAGCAGGCATGTGCTGCAGTGTCCGAGCTCCCAGCACCCGGCTGGACAGAGCTGCCCCCCGTGTTATAGATGCTGAAGAACAAGCAATCCCAATTCCACACGTGCTGCCCATGGCACTGAGGGTTTGGCTGGGAGCTGGGAAAGGTTGGGGTCTAATCCCAGTGTTGGCTCTGTCTCAGTGCGGGGCCTGTAGCATGTCCCCACACTGCCTCAGCTCCCTGTCTGCAAAGTGAAGATAATCAATACCCTGACACCTGCCACGCAGGGGGCTGTTCAGGCTAATTGGTTACAGCTCAGAAAGTGCCTGGGAGATGAAAAGTGCTATTATTAGCGTATTAATAGCAATGCTCTGAGTAACGCAGGCTTCCACCCCCAGAGTAATATCGCGGAAGATTTCTCCTGTGCTGTGCAGCCATGAACAAGCCCCGCTGCGCACCTGTCGGGAGCTGTCGGCCACTGCAATCCTATTTCCTCACATACAACACGCGCCTTTCCCCAAGAATCACCTGCTGGAAACTGGTGTAATTCTATGGAAAAAATACGGTAAAAGCAGTTTCTGCCACTTCTGGGGCAAAAGGGAAAGTAAAATCTGCCCACAATCCATAGGAAGCAAGGCAAGGAGTAGGCTCAGCCTCTAGCTGCTGCTACTCAGTTACTTACTGCAAGGAAAGCTCATTTTTTCCTTTGTTCTGCCTTTCAACACACAAAGTGTGCATTTTACTCCAGGGCACATTGTACGTGCAAACATACAGCACTTTCCTGAGAGGGAAACCGAGGCATGGAGAGGTTTGCCGAGCAGGATCAGAGTTCAGGATTTTTCTGGTTCCCTCAGGCTGTCTCTCTCTTTTTTTAATATATAATACATTTTGTGCTCCAGGCCAAATCAGCCAAATCATATTGATTGAGCAGAACTCAATCATTCCAAAAACCAAATCAGCTGAGCAGACCGAATGCAATCGTTCTCTAAACACCATGCAGGGCGCTACAGCTGGCGAGCATCCTTCATCCCCGACTCACCCTGGGACTTCAGATACTCCCAAATTCACACATAGGCAGGCATCCCTATGTGTAGGCTCTCTGCCCCCCAGGCCAGTTAAAGGCCAGCCCTGTTTTAAAGCTGTGCGAGGGCAGTCCGCGTGGGTGCCCAGGACGGAGCCCCTCTTTCCGTCCCGGTGAGTGGAGCAAGGCTGGGGCAGCAGTGGGTAAGGGAGCAGCTCCGGTGCTGGAAGGAGCTGGGCTAAATGCCTCTTTTTCTTTTCATCTTCCTCCCCCTTGCCCCAACCTGGTCATCAGGCTGTGTCTATAAGTCAATGGAAAAGCTTTGGCCTGCTCCTCTCCCCAGCTGCTGGGCACAATCCAGCTCCCACCCTGCCCTGCCAAAATCCTGCCCCCAAGAGATTTTATCCTGCTCCTGCCTGCCATTGCTGACGTCTAGTTTTATCCCACACTGAGGACAGGCTCATGGGGAAGGGGCATCTTTCCCCCCAAATGCCTTTGAGCCTATTTCCACCCCCACCCAGGCCTGCCTGCAACAAAACGGATTCCTCCCACCCCTGCCAGCATGTCGGCAGGTTCCCCGGGGCCTGGCAAGTCCCTGCTCCCATCACAGGGCTCGCGGATGAGCTCCCGGGCATGACATCTGGGACACGGCAAACAGCATCAGGAACAAGCCATGCTGCCAGCTCGTATTGTCTGAGCTGCAGGGACTGACTCTCGCTCAGCCACCGGGCAAGGAGCAAAGCTGCTTCCTTAGGCAGTGGGGGAGAAGGCATCACGATCTTCTTAGAGGCCTTTTCCAGCTGCCGCCTAGCACATCTGTGCACACCCTGAATGGGTGCAGTCAAAGAGCCTTTGCTATGCCCCAGAAGCCTCGTGGATGTGATCTTTTCCTGGTCAACCTAGTGCAACCTCTATTCTGGACACTTCCCAGCCTACCGGCCCTCGCCGAGACACAGCTGTAGCTGTGTTTTAAATGATAATAACAATTATAACAGGTGCCACCCAAGCCACTAGGCTGCTTAACAACCGAGCAACACAACCACGGGGCCCCGGCACATCACAATAACTAGTCTAAGGGGGACGTGGCTATTCTACTACCTACCACCAAGCTCCTTCCCCCTCCTTTAGTCTGGGAAGGACTTCCGTGAAACCCCATGAACATGCACAGAAAATTGAGCCCCCTTTCAGTAGGACGCTCCTGTCTGGATTCAGATTTTCCCTTACTTCACAGATTCAGGGCTGGCATACGGCATCCGATTGAAGTATTGACACAATCCACCTAGCAAGGCCCTGGGTGGGATCAGAGCAATAGAGGCCACGTGGCAAGACCACTTGGCACGATGATCCTTTTTGCAGCGGGCGGCTGATTTCAATTAGTGACATATGTGAATACATCGCGAGGACGGATGTTGCATCTCGAGACCCACCTATACAAAGGGTGTCTCTATCCTAGACATGCCATGGTTGAAATTGCCCAGTGGCAGCTTTTTTCTTTGGCAAATGCAGTCCCCTTGAAACCAAAAAGCTTCACAGAAAGCTGCAGATTTTAATGATAGGGAACCAGCTCAAGCACAGCATCCCAGTAAGGTCAAAATGGCCTTTCTGGCACAAAATGTTACTAGTTTTGAAATGACTTTGCATGTCTTTTCTCTTGCTTGATGTAACTGATAAAAAAGGTAAAAATGGGATTTGCTGTGGAAACCTTTTTGCGTGACCCAAAATGTTTTTGTTTTTGTTTTTAATTTGTTCCATAGGGTTTTTTTAAATTATTTTAATTTTGTTTTGGAACGGAAAGTGCAGAATTTCCCATGAAACAGAAAATTTGCCTCCCACTCAGCTCTAAACATATCCCCACAAAGTCTCCAGATGGGTTTAACTTGCAGAGAAGTAGCCTCACACTGACCTTCAGTAAGTTTGCTCCAACGAAATCTCCTTGCTCTGAGTATGAAAGGTTTCTTTAAGACACACCATCTTGCAAAGCAGGTCAGAAGTAGCTGGCAGAGGTTGGCTGGGCTTTCCCAAGAGCAGCTCTGCCTGACTGTCCTCTTTCAAAGGAGGTGAGTATCTCATTTGGCCTAGAAGAATCCCATTAGTCTGGAGGAATTTCTCACGGTGCACATAAATGTTTGACAGCGTTTCAGATGTTGAACGCTCTAGGCTTTTTCCTGGAGGATAAAGCCTCATTATCTTAGCCTGTGCACAGGTCCTCCTTGGCATGGCCAACGACACACGCTCTTTAGTCTCTCTTCTATCTCCAGCTTCATTTAAAAAAATGCTGTTAAATAATTTTCATAGATTCATAGATTGTTAGGAACTGGAAGGGACCTCGCAGGTCATCGGGCCTAGCCCGCCGCACCAGGCAGGAAGACAACTGGGGTCAACTGACCCAAGGGAGGTGACTGTCCAGCCCCCTCTTGAAAACCTCCAGGATAGGTGACTGCACCACCTCTGGAGGGAGCTTATTCCACATAATATTCCACATTTTCATAGATTTTAATGCCAGGAAGAAGCACTGTGATGACCAAGTCTGCTGATTGCTGTGTATTTGTTTAGCGGGCGTATTTGTAGCCTGGAACAAGCTAATGAATAGAAAATGAATAGAAAATGATCTAATTAATAGAAAATGATCTGGATTTCATGTTAAGAAAGACGACGGATTTAGGATTTGCACATTCCCCTAGGGTGCCAGGAACCCAAATTTGCAACTTTGGTGCCAAGGGCACAGCATCATAGAGCAGTAGGGTTTGAAGGAACCCCAAGAATTCATCTAGTCCCAGCCCCCAGCTTAATGCAGCATCATTGGTGCCTAAACTATCCCACTCACATGAAAAGAGAAAGTAAAACTAAGTAGTCCAGCAAAATGCAAGGAGCTTGGTTGTTACTTAGCCCCTAAGGATCCCAACTGAGACCAGAACCTCCTTGTCCTAGGGGCTGTACAAACATGATGAAAGTCCTTTCCAGCCTGAGCATGAACAAACCCCATACAATTCCCCCCCCCAACCCATTAGCTCTTCAATGCAACTAAACTGCAGCCTGCAGAGCTGCGTGGACCCGACCGCAGAGCTCCCCGGAGCACTCTCCCTTTGCGCTAAAGAGGGATAACCACTGAGCGATGAGGACAAATGCCCGTTAAGTGCTAAGACCCGCGTGCTCACTTCCATGAGCTGGTGCCCGGGTCTGCCAAGCTGCCAGCTGCCTGGAAAGCAAACATGACATGAGACAGCACAGGGCAAGCACGCAGCTTTGCTTTGTTTGCTTGCTGCCTTGCTTGCATCTCCCTCAAGTCACTCGAAGCTAATGACTTGCTTAGAAATGGTTTTCTTTTGACGTGAAATGCACCTGCCGGCTGAAAGGAGGCTGGAAGATTATTTTGATCCGATCAATTGGTGGGAAATTTAGGTCAGCCTGCCATCACGTGAATAAGAAAAACAGTGATAAAAACTCCCTCGGAACAACACTTGTGCTTTGAAAATAATAATAACCCCCCCCAGGCTGCAGAACAATTGCCCTTGCAACCACCTAAGTGTGCAGTCTAATCGCCCAGCCTCTGCAGAAGGTTTGTTGGTAGTTTGAAGGGTTACATGTGCTGCAAAGGAAATAATGTTTTTCAACCCCTTAATTCTCGGTTATTTAGAAAGAAGCAAGAAGCAGAGGGGATTTCTACTGTGAGCAGCTGGCAGGGGCTGCCCAAAGCAAGGGAGTGGCACTGGGTTGACAGGACCAGCACCCCAGTAGTGGCCCATCCTTGCTTTGGCGTCCGTCTCCTTGCCCTCGCTGTGATATCACTGCCTTCGGGAGGGGATGGTATTGCTTTGCTTCATGGCTGCTCACAGGCCCAGGAGGGCTGCAAAGGCAAGTTGAGAGTGGGCTGGTACAGCTGTCATTAGAGAGAGGGAAAGCAGCACGACCTTGAGCTGGCTGCATAATTTGAGGGTCGAAGAGACCATTCCTAGCCTCTTGTCACTGTGGGTTGGTTCCTTCCCCCGTCGATGCTCAGCCCTTGCCTGTATTAGACAGGATATCAAAACAGGACAAAGTTTGGCCCAAGCCTATAGTTGGTCCATCAAGCAAGTGTGGATACATCACTCCCGTTTCTGTATCTAAAGAGCGCCCAAGGGCATGGCTGGGTCTAGCATCACATCTGGATGGACACGCCTTGGACTCCCCAACCTGGACAACACCTGGCTGGGGGAATCTGGCATCAGATCGGAAACGGCACCTCTGATGCTGTGTGAAGACCCCATTAATCATGCTGTGAACTGCACCTCAAACACACAACGTCCCTTTTGGGCTTCACAATGTATTTCTATGAGCCGTCAGCTTAGTGAACAGGAGATGATTTAATGAAGGCATCAAACGAGGCCAACCACCCTCTCTCTGTCACAATCCAGGCTAGGCAAAGAGAAGGTCTTCCTCGCAGGGTGAGCTGGCCCTTGGTGATTCATTAGGCTCCTGGTGCATCCATCTTAGTGAGGCGACGAGGAGCAATGTGAGGTCGTGTTAAAGGCACATTCACTCTTATTGCTGCCAACCTGGCTTACTTAAGGTTGTGCAACATCGCCAAGGGAGAAGGCACTTCCTCCCTCTTCCCACCCTCAGGGAACATCCTCTCCCCAGAGGGATGACGGTGAAGGTCTCTGACAAGCCCACGATTAAAAGGAGACTTTTCCCTCTCCTGCAGTGAGAGCAGCTGGGCTGCCTTCCTCCCCTACGAGCAGACTGGAGTCTCACTGACTTTCAGGCCAACCCAACTTTAGCCTCAAGGTGTTGGAAACATGTGATCAGATCCTGACCACTTTATTTTTCCCATTTGCAACAACTCTAAAGAGCTAGAAGAGCAAATCACGTCTCAGCTTGGAGTCGACTGCACCATGGGGAGTGCAAGATGTGGGGCCAGATGGAGGAAGGTCCACAATCCTAGTGACTCTTCCAGGAGAAGACTCTGGTCCGTTCTGGAGACGGCCAGTCAACAGGTATCACCATCAGGATCTCTTGTGTTTATATTGCACTTTACAGTGGAGAGCCTCAAAGTGTTCACAAAGGCTGGTGGGTATCATTATACCACTGAGGACGGAGGAAACTGAATCAAAGAGAAAGGCGGGCGGGGGATAGTCCCAGGGCTGACTTACCAAAATCACAGCAGAGTCAGGAGAAGGACCCAGGACTCTGAACTCCTCTCACCCAGCCCACAAGATCACAGCCATCCTGGTCAAGCCAGAGTTTGGATCAGAAATGCAACATGGATCACTTTTACAGGCAGGTTGGGGGTTTCAAAGGAACCCAAGGGACTAGTTACACCGCTGCCCTAGAAATTGAGAGAGGTGGTTGGTATCTAATGCCCACAGATGCTTTTGCAAACCCTAATATGATGTTTAGCAAAGTCAGGGAGAGGGGGAATTGCATGTAAGTGCTTAGTAAGGAACATGATTCCTGAGCTAGCATTTCCTGCAGCGTGTTTATAGAGTACATGCAGCTCGGGCAGCATTTGAGTCTCTGCGCAGAAGGCAGGCAGCACATAATCAATAGGCTGTATATTGCCAAGCTCAGCACTTCATTTTCCATAGCTGCCTGACTGGCACCTTGCCCCTGCAATGCTCTTGCTCATAGATCACGGGGAGCACACGGTGCTGTCATACGTTTAATTGGTTCTGCCCTAGCACAGAGACGACTGTTGGAAGGTGGCAGGCATCTGCAAGGAGCATTATTTATCCCATCTGAAAAGCACGCAGTGCTAAATGGGGATTCTGCTCATATGAAGTTGATCTTTAAGGGAGAGAAGCTGGTAGGGAGAACGGGCTGGAATCAGCCGACCTTTCCCCTTAGCAATTAATGCTCCACCTGCTGTGCGTGCACAAAGAGAGCTGTACTAAAGCGCTCCAAAATAAGCCCTGCGTTCTCGGAGGCTGCGGCTGCTGCTGTCTGTCACCTCCGAGGTTAGATCCTCGATGAGTCACCACATCGGTTACCCACTGGGGAAATAAAGAGGAGACTTCAAGGCAACCTCCAAGGATGTGTCAGCAGAGCGACTGATAGAGCGGCTGGAGGCTGTGGGCCAAATGCAGCCCTGGCTCAGGATATTGATGCCATTGGGGTTGACTCTAGAGGAAACTACGATTCCCATTAGCGGAAGTCTGTTTGAGCTCTGCGGGGCACTGCACTGTTCTGGGACTGTCCTGCTCTGAGCTAGATGAACTGCCTAGACGTGGAGCGCACTGAAAAGCACATTGGACCAAATGTTGGACCTTATGGCCGAGTCTTCTCCTCCTCCCCCAATTCTTGATGAGGTCTGTTAAATTGGGGTCCAGAGCCAGGCCATTTCCATCCAAGATCGGCGCCCAAATCTGTCTCAAGTTAAAAATTAAAGGCCTAGTCCAAAGCCTGTGGAGGTCAATGGATGCCATCGGGCATTGAATCCTTGGTGCAGCCATTTGCATTTCAACTCAGCTGCAGATCTGTGAAAGCCCCGGTTATGGTTACATGCCTGTATTGCCATGCAGTGCGGCTTCCTTTATTATATAATCAGGATCCTGGATCAGGCAGGGAGACTGTAATTGTTCATCTGTATTAGCAAAATCCCATTACCCTTCCAGACTCCATCACTAAAGAAGGTGAAGCAAGGCCATTCTTGTTTTAGTCCCTGCCAAGGGGGTAAAGGATGAATTGTCTCTAGACCTACCAAAGAAAATACCTCTTCCAGCATTTGGCTGCTTTCCTCTGTTGGAACAATAGCAATGGCATGCTTCAGCACCAAATCCCATGTACGAGTTGAACTACCCTGCTGCATGCACGAGGGATGCTGTGGGAGACCCAGCCTCCTTGCACAGACAAGGGGAAAGCTTTTTACTCTCTGATATCAACGGTCCAAATACTTTGGACTATTCTGGCAATGCTAGCAATTGAAATGAATGGGATTAATCAGACCCTGGAAAGAGAGGAGAGTGCAAACCATGGCATCCGTGGAATTTAGGCATGTTAAGTGCACAAGCACAGATCCTGAAAGGTGTTCACAGGGCCTGTCTCCTACATTTGGGTGCCTAAATCCCATTGATTTTTGTGGGGTTAAGCACTGAAATACCTCTGAGGATCTGGATTCCAGTTCCAGTCTTTCCTGAATTGAGGCCTGAAGATACTACAGTGATTAGCAGTGAGTAGGTAGGATGGTTGGCTTGATGGACTCTTTAAACAAGTCTCCTAATCCCAATCAGCTACATTTCTAGCAGACTTCCCTGATATTATTCATTTTGCCAAGCTCTCCGCTAACGACAGTGGTGTCGCATGCAGTTTCACAGCATGTCCAGAAAAGAGTGACACTAGATGGCCCCGATGGATATAAGCCGCACACCCGCATGGTCCAGTGAAGTTGAATGGTAAGCAACACATCAAAGCTGGCCGCTCTGCCAGGGACAAGCGGCCGTGTCTGTGGAGTTCATGCTACCCTCATTTAGTGCCCTTCCATGTGAGCGGTGTCCTTGCTCATTGGCCTAACCGGGGAAGAAATGCCCATCTCTCTGTCAGATGCCTGAGAGTGCCTTAGACCAAAGTAACTCGGCTCCGGAGCTGTCAGCTTAGCTGGCACCAGGATATTTTCACCTGCTGAAGCGAGGCACATCTCTGACTTGCTGGAAATTCACCCAGGGCAGCGTGTGGGAGAGTCCCAGCTTCAAAGTCAGCCTTGTATCTTTGTTCCCTTGAGGATGCACTAGCTCTCGCTCTCTCCACATTTCCAGGCGGCCTCTGCATGCTCCTGTAATTGCAGCAATAACACCTGCTCTGTGCCCCTCTTTGCAGTGTGCAAAAAGAGTGTAAAAGGAGGGAGAGGTGTGTGGTTGGGCAGAGACGCAGGTTTGCACAGCCGGCAGGCTCCCCGAGGAAAAAGCCTATGTGATGGCCACAGCCGGCCATGCCCACACACGTTGCCCAGCAGTTGTGTCTGTGCCATGCCCTGGATCTGGGTTCCAAGGAGCAGATCCTCCCAGCTATAACCCCTGCAGGGTTTCTCCACCAAAGCCCTTGCAGCCTGGCTTTTCACAGGGAATGGGAGTTTGGCTCATCGGCAATTGATTTGGGAGATGCTGGCACTGCAGCTGGAAGGGGCATTCAGGGTTGGAGGAGCTGCTACAGAAAAAAGTGCAGGGTGGCTTTCAGAAGAGAAGCAAAACCTTCCCCAGGGAATTAGTTCAAGGGGAGTTTGCCACTCTTCTTCCACACCGGGGACCTGCAAGCAGGCTGGCGGGTGCCCAACGGATCAGGTATCCCAGCACCCCCAGAGCTTTATTGCTTATAACACAACGGAAACATCTACATCACCAGGACAGAGCCAGAGAGATCATGCTGCTTTCTCCAGGGTTTGCAGACTCAATGATGCAGTTGAACAGAACCAGGGGATCTGGAGGGTGCCGCTGTTTGAATCATGGGGTTTTCATTGGTGAAACATCCAAGAAAAAATTTCATTTGAGGCTGGTTGACCCAAAATGAAAATGTCTTTTTCTTTTTTAAACTCCAGAGGAAAAAAAAAAAAGGGGGGGGGGGGGGGAATCATTCTGAGTCAACCCAAACATTAAAAAAAGAGAAAAATAAGTCAGACCAATTCTGAAAAAAAAGCAATGCTTTGGAAGGAAAAGGTGAAATGTTTTCTTTAGTGCGATGTACGGAAGAAACACACTTAGAAGGCTCCCAATTTCATTTTCTCTCCCTCCCCTCCCCTGATTTTGACCCAAACTTGAGAGTAATTTTGGTTGCAACAAGAATTCATTTTTTGGCAACTTTACTCTAGGCTGGAAAAATGTGTCCCTGGTCTATCAGAGGCCTCAGCAGGCCACTGAGCCATCCCTGCAGCTCAGAGACTTAGCCTTCAGGATATTGGACAGTTCACTATCACTATCCCTCCCTCCCTCCCCCTTTCACCAGCACTGCCTTTTAGTCCATTCTCTGCCCGTGGGCTGGCTCGGTGTCTCTCAGTATATCCCCTTCACTCTCTTGTTCTCTGGATCAAATGGAGATTTGGTGTGAGCTCTGGCAGGGTAGGTGACTCCCATCCGCTCCAGCATGTAGTCACCGCCCTTCACATACTCCAGGGAGACCTGCAAAGGAAACCAGGCAACAGCATCGATAAAAGACCCTATTCATGTTTCTCTCCCTCCTAGCTTAAGTGCAGCTGGGTCTTACAGTCATGCCAGAGGATGCTGCTGTGCCAGCTTAGAGCCTCGCTACTGAACACTGCGGGCATGGCTCAAGGGGCTGGGATATGCCACCTTTCTCCCATGGGGTTGGTGGCTCACCTCCAGCCTAGGACGATGCTATCCGAAAGCCTTTGCTCTCTCTCAGCTGGTTGGCGCTTGTGTGTGATGAGTTGCTCAGTCTGGGACCCCCGACTGATGCCTGCTTTCCAGCTTGGAGGTCAGACCACGAGCCCTGTTGAATGGCCTCTCCCAGGGCTGAGCAGATGGCCCTGCCCGTGCCATCCCAAGAAGACTACAGGCAGGATTTCTTTTAGTGGAGCCTGGTGCTCCTCTCCCAAAGGAATTTAGAAAGGGAAGGAATACCGATTTTAAAAGCACCGGCTAGAAAAATTGGGTGGGGGTGGAAAACAAACCCAACCTAGTGATTTCTTGTACAGCATCTACAGCAAACTGAATTTAAAGCCAGGCAACAGCGAGAGAGTCAAAGCGAGGTCAGCCCTTGAGCAGCGGGTGGCTGCCGACAGCATGCTGGGAATAACCTGCCGTGCACAAACCAGGTGGCAGAACGTGGTCTGCCCCGTGGCTGGACCGCCCCGAACACGAGACCTAGGCCACCCGCCCAGCCCGGCCCCAGCTGATGTGACAAGAGAGTTTTGCACGCTCTGTCTTTTGTTTCAGCTTGGGAGCAGTATTTGGCCAATTTGAAAACCCTGTGCTGACCAGCCAGAAGACTCAGGCCTCCTGCGGTAGAAACGGTTTTGATCTGGTGGTATTTTAGCCCTGCCAGCCACGACACCCACAGCACAGTTAACAATATGGACCATGCTGCAGAGAAATGGCTGTCTGTGGGGGTGGGCGCAGAGACAGCCCCACGGCCTGGTAGGCATCAATAATTCAGGAGCAGCTGGAATTTTATCTTCAGGGATTTCTCTCTCTCTCTCTCCTCTGGTTTGCTTTTCCCCTACTCATCTCCCTCCCCACTCATCTCCTCTGGTGCTGCAGCCCATAACACCAGTATGGGCAGGGTGTGCTGGCACCCGCAATTCATCTGGGACATGGACTGAGAGATGCTTGGGG